AGGGTAGGCACCCAGCGAGACACGCACTTATTATACTAACCTTGATAGCCTTGTGAACGCTGGGCCTGCGGGACCACAGCATCCGAAGCGCTTTTACAAATTCGCCCTCATCGACCCCATCGATCAGCCTTTTGCGACGTTCCGATACTACTGCCGCAGCTGGGATCAACTGCGCGATTTGGGGCTGCTTGATCACAATCGTGGTGTTGCTGGCGAAGAGAACGACCTCCCTGTGATAGAGCCGAACGAAGGCGGTAGTACCGATGAAACCATCGAGGGCATAAGGGCCTGTAGCGCCATGAGCAGGGATTCGGAAGATGTCTTTCAGGACTGCAAAGAGAACTTTGATGGACGAGCCGCGAGTGCTACAGGCATACGGGGACAAACTAGGAGTTCGTCAAGCCCTACTCGATCCACATCAGCGTGGAGGCGAAAATCCTCTACCCACAGAGCATCACTACGTCTGGTGAGCGATACAGAGCAGCCACGCGCCTACATCCCACGCGGTGCACCAGGCCCGAAGGCAGACCTGCCAGTTGAGCATGCAGGTGAGAATGCACAACAGCGCTATGGCATTGTCCGGACACCAACCCCGTTCTACCGGCTCTCGATACCACCGTCTATCAGACTCGGGCCTCCAGAACCAGCTTCACGGCCTCTTCCTACGCTTCCCATCAAGAACGACTTCAAGACATCCACGTCATACCACCCGCATCCTGCGTATCCATTAGACGACTGGACTGTGCGCACTCCCAGCCCCGTCAAATCGGTTCGGGACGGCATATCCACTCCGCCGCCGTTCAAGCGCAGAGAGCAAGGTCGGTCGGCTTCTGCATTGATGAGCGTGATTGCATCTGCTTGGAAACGCCGAGGATCACAGACGCCAGATGAATCGCTGCGAACAGACGGTACGGAAGATGCGCAGAGGTTGCTGTGATGTTGGGGGCGTGATAGTGCCGTGGTGGGCAGTGTGGTTGCAAGTGCTCTGGAGCGGGCACGTTGACATTGCGATATTAATGTACACGGTGAAGTGAAGAGGTCGATGGCTTGTTCATGAAAGCTTCTGATGCTGCTGTACGCTACTCAATCAACATTTGAGATGTCATGAGGTCAGGACGCGTAAGATGAAACGTGGGACGATTGCCGATCGGCACGATGATGCAAGGCACAACGCCGTGATTCGCTCCTCCACAACCCCGCAAACTGCAGCTACCTCAAGCTTCCATTCCAGCTGACAGCTCCAACACTGTTGTGTGCTTCATGCTTCTTTGTTTATACAATAGCCCATAACTCATGATTTCGTCATTATAGCGTCGACTTTATTCTTTTGGCATTGATCTGGCGGCGATAGTCCTCGAACTACACCATGCGTCCCTTTGCTGTCGCAGCTGCTGCGCTCCTAGCAAGCGTGGTAGATGCGTCGACTCTCCAACCACCCGTCCTTCCGTTGATCGTGCGGAACCCATATCTGAGCACATGGCTGCAAAATGCAAGGGAAGAGCCATGGAGCAAATGGCCCATGTTCTGGACTGGATCTGAAGTTGGCTTCAGTGTCATGGCGTCGGTCCCTGACACGAACGAAGTATACCCGCTACTCGGCCGACCTCATGATTCGCTCGAGCAAAAGGACAAAGAGTATGTTTACTTTAACCTCTCGCAGCGCAATCATTGCTAACTCCTGCCCGTAATAGTTACGCGATAGCGTACCCCATATACCGGGGTGCTAAATACGACGCGTCGACGACCAACCTTACGTACTCGATACCAGCGCCCAACGTACTCCGCTCGGCGAAAGATGTAGAGATTACCTTGTCCTTCCTCTCACCCATCACACCGACCTCGACTTTGCGCCAGACCATACCGGCAGCATACCTGTCTATACACGTAGAAGGAACGTTCGATGTAAACATATACGTGGACGTGAACGGACAATGGGTCAGCGGCAAGAGGGAGAGCCTGATAGAATGGGGCTTGTTCCAGCATGTCGCGCCGGGTCTGAACGATAAGCTGAAGACGTGGCAAGTCAAGCGACAGGTTGAGCAGCTCTTCACCGAGACGAACGATCAGCCCGAGTGGGGTCAGCTGCACTTTACTGGGCCAGTCGATGCGCGCCATGAATCGGGTACATCCGCGCTCTTGCGCCAGCGATTCGCTCGAACCGGGACTTTGCAGAACGAGGTCGATGGGAACTTCCGTGCCGTCATGGATGAAGAGCCCGTGTTTGCGTTTGCGAAAGCCTTCAAGCTAGCAAACTCTTCGACTACCGGCTCCAAATCCAGCAGCAACAGTGACAGCGTACTGTTTACGATAACCCACATCCAAGATCCGGTCACACAATATGCATCTGCTCGCGGTCTCACGTTCATGCGGCCGTTGTGGAAGTCCTGGTTCCCTCAAGACGACAAGCTCATTCAATTCCATTACGGCGATTTCGCAATGGCCAAAAGCCTCGCTGGCAACTACTCGGAGCAGCTGCGCATCGATGCCTACCAATCTGGCTCGACGAACTACGTGGATATCGTTGCCTTGTCTGCACGACAGGTCATGGGTGCCACTAGCTTCTCCGGAACGAAAGACAATCCGTTGCTCTTCCTGAAAGAGATCTCCTCCAACGGCAACAGTCAAACAGTCGATGTCATCTTCCCGGCTTTCCCGTTCTTCCTGTACACACAGCCTAGGTGGTTGGCATATCTGTTGGAGCCACTGCTGGAACACCAGCTGTCCGGCCAGTATCCCAACAAGTACTCGATGCATGACCTTGGCGCACACTTCCCTAATCTGACAGGACATGCCGATGGACGGGACGAGTACATGCCTGTTGAAGAGTGTGGCGATATGCTGATCATGGGTCTGGCACTGGTCAACTCGTTAAGCTACAACTCCGATGCACAAGCTCAGTCCATCTGGTCAGCAATCGGAAATGACGCAGACCGTAGTACTGATGCAATCAATGCATTCTCTCTGAATGGCGTCGGACTGCACGACGGAGTTGACTATATCGATGAGACTTGGGGCGGAAGTACCAAGGGTATCGATCAGGCGAAGAAATGGCTGGAAGGTAGCTATGACCTGTGGAAGCAATGGACTGGCTATCTTGTCGAAGACGCTCTGGAGCCTCACAACCAGCGTAAGTATTGACCCGCGATATTTTCAAATACAAGCTAACGCGTATTATAGTCTGCACTGATGACTTCGCTGGCTGGCTGCCACTTCAAACAAATCTTGCCTTGAAGGGCATTGTCGGCATCAAAGCTTTCAGTGAAATCGCAGACCTCATGGATCGACCCGGCGACGCAAAACACTACCGCAACATCTCCGAGACATACATCAAGAAGTGGCAAGACTACGGCATGTCGCGCGACGGCACGCATGCCAAACTCGCTTACGACTGGTACGGCAGCTGGACCACTCTATACTCGCTTTACGCCGATGCCGTACTCTGCTTCCACCCCACCATCACAAATTCGTCTTCTATGTCAGAACAACCAGACTACGCATCTGGAAATGACGAAGCACAGAGGCCTATGTCGCCATCCAAACACTCCTCCGGCCGCGTACCCATCACCGAGGATTTCATCCCAGACAAAATCTACAACCTCCAGAGTGACTGGTACTCTACCGTAATGCAGAAATACGGACTTCCCCTCGACTCTCGTCACCTATATACCAAGTCTGATTGGGAGTTTGAAGCTGCTGCTGTTGCGAATAAGAAGGTGCGCTCTGAGATTCTTGATCGCGTGGCGCTTTGGTTGAATGAGACCGTCACGGACCGCCCTTTCACGGATCTTTATGTCACTGAAGGTGATGGTGGATTCCCTGGACCTTGGTTCTTTGCGAGACCGGTTGTTGGGGGGCACTTTGCGTTTTTGACGCTGGAGAGGGCTTGTGGTGGTGGGGGAAAGTAGGACGGTAGAGTTTGATGAGTCGACGTAATTGCATGTAGAGGGTAGTCTGCAGTGATGCAATTGAAAACTAGATGGATGCAACTATTCAACATCATGAACGTAATTCAAATTCGTAGCGCTTCGTATCATAGTCGCATTGATCGAGCGTCTTCTCAAGCGCTCGTGCTGCTTCCAGGGAGGCTGGGGGCTGTGAGCGCTAATCTAGCCGTATCCGTCGTAACCGAGGTACAACCTCTTAGCGGTTCATTGTACCTCTCCTAAACAACAATCCTCACACCTACGCTCATTTGCATCAATATTTCCAACGAACCAACACGCGTCTGAAGTTACATGATGCCGTATCCGGTATCCTATAGCGGCCGATTGGCGTGCTGTACTCCGTATGGCCGAGTTGACCACGCGCTTTGTGCCGAAGGCGGCGCGCTCAAAGAAAGTGATGCCTCGCATCGATGGCTTCGGAAGTTTTCGCCTTTGTCAGAGAATTCCATATCAACAAAGGGTCCGCGGCATCGAAGTGGTATCTTTTGGCAGCGAACCTTGGAGTCATCGAGTCCTGCTGAACATCACCATCACACCCTCTGAGCCGCCGATTCGAGCATAGACATCTCCGACGAATATCTGGACGACACCATGGTTCTTTATCATGCGAATGGAAGAGTTGTTGATCTACACGATCAATACTTAGACGATGAAGCACGGAATCTGGCGAATCATTATCGATATATCGAGCAGGTTGATATTTGCAACCAAAAGACTGCGGACGCTTCCACCGATAACGTTGAAATCATTATCGATGAGCAAGAGTACAGAACACTCTATTATGAGAAAGGGGGAATTGAGTGGGAAGTCATCAAAAAGTTCAGGCAGAAAACCCCATATACCAACTTACCGACGGTTGATCGCGCTACTTTGATAATGTGCTCGAGCTTCGCCGATGACCACTTCAGATACAATCCGGGAGAGAAGACGCTTCACCTCCCAGTATGTTATCCGAGACAGCATCACTCTGCACGAGACGAATCTATCGATGATTTCCATAAATTCTTTGGGACTCTTGTGCATGGAAAAAAGCTCGCCGAACAATCTGATAGCCAAATGGCGTTTATACGACCAAAGGAGATCAAGGATTATGTCATTCCATGGCTGGAAAGAGTGCAGGAACAGCGCGAAAGAGCGGAGACACCACGTCGCGAAGAGGACGATGCAAGACCATCCAGGAAGACAAGGCGCGCACATGATCTAGTAAAACCTGTCGGTGCCATTCCCATGGACATTCCAGATACACTTGAGGATAGAATCCATCTTTACAACGCTATGCTGCAGCTAGGCCTGCCCAAGTTCGTGCAACTGGTAAGAAACGCTTCTTCAATGCCTGCCTATCTGCAAGACATAGACTGACCATACACCCAACGTTGTAGCCACTCATCGACAAAATCGTCATGCAGATGTACAAAACCAAACTCAACGCGTGTCACCTCGCCACTCTAGAGCATACAGTCGGGCGCTTTTACTCCAGGGGTGTTGCTGTCCTTGACCCAGTTCTCTGTCATTTCATCGGATCGTATCCTCGCAGGACCTTGCAAGATCGCAGAAACGTCAGACCTCCATCTGAAAGCGACACTGAATCATCAGATGATACGAACAAGACTGGGGAGCAACCGCCAGAAGAAGCGCAAAGTGCTGATACTGAATCGGGAGAAGAACCACCAGCACCAGCACCAGAACCATTCGACTTCAAGAACTCGGAGAGAAAGTACCTCAGTTACCATCCTCAACCCGCGGGCCGTGAAAGGTTTAAAAAAGACACGTATCTTCTTCCCCCTGAGCTGCCTGTCATCGGTCATAGTATAAAGCATTGGTCCGGAGTCCGCAAGAAGGGCAGCACAGCTGCGGCTCATAACGGATTTCCTCTCAATATTGGAAAATACAAGAAATTCATTCGGAGAAACGCGACGGATGTGCTCGATGCAGATGAATATTTTGAAGAAGAGACGAACCGACTGGCTTATCAGTCCGACTACGAAAAAGAGGGTCCGGGGGAAGGTAATTAATGGTGTCTTCGTAGTACCAGAGCTTATTTCCAGTGTGGTAAAGTTCTTATCAAACCCCAGTTCTCCCCGCTGTCGTCATGCATGTCACTACCAACTTGATACCTTGTCTTCTCCAATGTTTTATCTACATGCTTTTATCAAGATACAGTGAACGTCTTTTCCATACAAACATAACCTCGGCAGCGACGGGAACAAAAACAACGGTGGCAACAATCTGACCAAAAGTCCACTGCCCATCTGGGAAGCTCCCACCAGCTGCTCGGATCATGACACTTTGTAGTTGTCGCAGCCGAAAGAACGCCCAGAATTGCACAACAAGTGCGATGGCGACGACAACGTTGATTCCCAGTTTTGCATACAACCCAATAATACCTCCGTCGAACATAGAATAGCACTTTGTCAGCCAGGCTTGTTTATGATCCGTGTCCTCCAAAGCGGAAGAAAGGATTTTCGAGATGACCACAATGGACAACAGCAGATAGCTGAGAATGCCGAACGCCGTGGTGAGATTGCGTTCATGTGAGCTGATAGTGCTAACACCTTCGAAACAGACGCCTGCAATCACGCTCCATTCTTCGAACGTTATGGCGGTGTTTGGCGAACTTCCAATCCGGCTTTCGCCTGCATTGGTTAGACAGTATTCCTTTAACATAGTGTCGCCACTCACCAAAAGTCCCTCCCATGCGAGAGAAGAAAGGGCAAAAGCCCATAGCCCAACATATCACGAACAAGACAAAACGTTGTCCTCTACGAGCATCGGAGAGAGGCCCAGACTGTCCATTGGTGCCGCTTCCTGGCTCTTCAAATCCGTCTTGTGAATTATCAGTACCACTAGACGATCGTCTTCTAGCAGCATCTGTTGCGCCACTTTCCAAGAACATTTCCGGTCGCAACACCATTGGAAGGAGAGGCAGAAGCGTGAGCGACGAGACAAGCCAAGCAATCTCAACTGTGAACCCGCCCATTCCAACAGCGTTTACGCCAAAGTCAACCCCAGACAGTGTAACGATGCTAGCAGTTTGAATCGCGAAGGTAAAGAAGATGGCGTTGTCGAAAAAGGTTCTTGTGGCGTTCGCGACTAACAGTCTCCCAATGCTTGGATGGCCCTTTGCGCTTCGTTCAAACCACATCGATATCCCTACGAGACATGCGCATATGAAGCTCTCAAGAATGTATCCAATCGCCATGCCGATACCGCTGATGTCTGGATTCCCTGAGCCCCACAATGCTCCGCATACATTGGTTTTGCAATCCTTCACGAGGCTGAAATCCCCGCCCGTGGCGTTGCGGAGCAGATCGATGTACGCTGCGAAATCCGTTCGAGTGGAGAGGGCAAGACAACCAGCTGGGTCCATTTTGGAAAGCTGTCAGTATGAAGAAGCAGCGAAGGAAAAGTCAGAATCGTTTATTGTATCGACCAAAAGAGGATGTCAGCTCTGATCAGGCTGAAGTCTGCCTTATCGCTCAGCAGAAGCCCCCCTGCCACGGCGTAAGCTTAGCCCCCAACCTTGAGGTTTTTTTTAGACCGACGCCCCATCGCGACTGAGACCAAAACACATAAACCAATTGATTACTGTAAGCTCAGTTTAAATCTTCGTTCTCACTTTCCTGCTGTCGAAAATGAAAGCGTTTCTTGTATACTTGCTCGTTTCGCATCTCATCACCATGACAAGCGCTCAATCGGTAACTAACCCCCCAAGTTTCACAGACGAGACTGAGACTTACTCTGCAGCTTGATACTACGCTTGTCAGCTCTCCGTTATCTGCGTTTGAATCAAGCGTATTTGAGGGAACAACTCAGTTCAATGGCCAATCATCAGTGTTCATCACCATGACACGACCTTTCACAACAACAACATCAACATCAACATCATCGACGTCAATAACATCTAAAGTCCCGGTAGCCCCACCCCACCTTTCATCAGCGCTTCCGCCTCCCGCTTCACCTCCACCTCCACCTCCGACAGCGGTTCCTCCTCCGACAGCAGTCCCTCCTCCGGCCCCTACAGCAGTTCCAACAGGAGTTCCAACAGAAGTTCCAACAGGCGTTCCGACAGGAGTATCAACAGGCGTTCCATCTCCACCAAATCCGACCTTTACCCTACCACCTGTTTCGGGTGGCGGACCTCCAGGCTTGTCTACAGGTATGGTTACATTACAAATCATCTGGAAGTCTTCTCTATATGCTGATCCCGAACCAGGCTATACGGTTGGTACCGCAGTAGGCGGCGCCATCGGCGGCCTACTCATTCTTTCGCTCCTTATCTTCTGGTAAGGGGTCTAACTGTCGCGTTGTTCACTTACATACTGACTCATCAGGTTCCGCGCGCATAACAACAAGAAGAAGAAGTTGCGACTATCTGTTAGTAACGGGTCAGCGCTAGCAAATAAGCTTGAAGAAGAGAAGACGGAGAAGGTCAAGGCCAACGGTGTTCCAGAGAGGAAGCCACTGCTGATGAACCCTAATGCTTCTGGAACAGGGACAGGAACTTATGGGAGGAAGCTAGACGGCGGAAGGACTCTGAAGTCTACCAATACGCTGTGAGATGGTCACACATCACGTCTGTTCGTTAGCGGGTTGAGCAGCCTAAGTCACGCAATTTTGCAACATTTTATTCTATTTTTATGATGGTGGAACTATCAAACTTATCGAAGATCCATAGCTACGTGTTACGAGCACATGTGCGACCCGCGCAGTGCCCGCTTTGAACTTCGCATTGATGCAAATGGACTGATGCTCCCTCGACTATCTTTGCTCCTCTTCTTCGGAACGCTCTCAAATGTGCGCCTGAAAACAGCAATTGGGTATCGTAGATGGGTCGCTCGTATGTGAACAGTACATGCGCCGTGTAGCTTTGGAGTGGATGGCGACTTGACTGTGATGACGCGCTTGCAACGCATGCCTGCTTGGGGGCTCTCGGTCATGTGTAGTCTGTCTCTGCCCATAAGACTTATCCGCTAGACCATACAAGTGGTGGGTATGGTGAGAGAGTGAAGGGGCGCAGCTTTGGCGCTTGGCTGCATCTTTTGTGTGTGATTTGGCGTTTTTCGGCTTTCATCTTTTTTTTTTGGTGAGGATTTCTTGCCTTTCAAGCAAAGAAAGTCTCAGATTCATCGCGTGCATATCGCGAAGGAAGAGGTCTGAGCGTTGCTCATGCTGGCAGCACCTTCTCTGGTATAATGGGGTGGCATGATCTCCATGTGTTGGGCTTCTGCTTAGCAAGATCGCACCGCATGCTTGGTGTTCGTGACCAATGCCAGAGTCTTGGGCAATGACTCCATGCTGTGCACACGAAGACAGCGAGCTGCTCCTCTCCTTACTCCAGAATGCCAATCGTACTGAATCCGTCCTATACCTCGCCGTCAATGACGACACCCAGGTTAGCGGTGTCGCACTGAATGGTATAGTCTCCGTCTCTTTCTTTCTGCTCAATGTCCTTGCAAGAGTTTATGACCATCTCACTCCTGTAGACTGTGTGATTGCAGTAAGGTTCAGGATACTTTTGTTGCCAATTCAAAGCTCTTCGTCCTCTTTGTTGTGATCTGGGTTTTGGTTTTGAGCTTCATCATCCTCGTGGATGTCGGTATCGTCCCAATCTACCTCAACATCGTAGCGTTGAGATACTGTAGACGGAGTCTTGCACGGTCGCACTGCTTTAGTAACCGGTACTGTAGGCTCATGTGAAGATCCTTGGTATCCTCCAGGTCCTTCACGACCTGGTGAGGCCTGGTGAGGACTCAAGGACGGATCCATCGCCGTCTCTTGTGTCACGACAGACCCAACGTTTGCGACTTGTGTAGGTAACGTGGCATCGATGGTTTCTTGAGATACATCGTATTCGCCAGTAACATCGCTGCTGCCCTTATTCGCAATCTGTCCAAATTGGGAGTTGGGACTGTCATGACGCGAAATACGTCTATCCTTGACCTTCGACGGTGGCGATTCTCCCTCTTTTGGCGAGACACGAGGACCTGGAGACTCAGCATGCATCAAAGACTGTAATGAGCTTTCCGCTGCAAGCGCAAGTGGAGACAAGTAATGTTCGCCATTGCTGCCAGGTGTCACTGCTCTTCCCGCGGGAGATGCCAATGTTGGTGTGATCGGCGGGAGTGGTGCCGTGGATGCATAAACTGTTGCCATTCCCCGCGTTGCAGCCGTCAACTTACGCTGCGCCGCTTGTTGAGCTGCAGCTCGAGCTGCGAGAGGACTATAGTCAAACGTTGACCAGTCAATGATGGTAGGGTCGTGTGTGGTTGTAGTTGTCTCTTCTGGGTCTTTGAGCCAGTCTATACGACATGTTTTCGAATAGTCGAACCAACCAACAACGCCATCATCCTCTCGCGCACCGTAGGCCATTCGGGTCTCCGCGCCGGATTTGTGGTCGATGTCGAAAACGCCATGCTCGTATACTACCACGGTAGAGCTGTGCGTGATTGAGATGCAGCCGCCTTCTTTCAAGGCTGCACTAGGATGCCATGATTCCAACACACGCCTGTGCTCTGGCTTGGGCGTAACTTGGCTCATCCAAGGGGGCTTGTTCCCATGGAATCGTACTGGCTGCGTATCCGGAATTCCGATGAGCTTGAGGTACTCTGCTGCTAGAAGAAGTCCTTGCTCGGTAGCGATGTGAACCTTCCCATTGTAGAGATAGAGATCACAGTCGCCGATGTCTCTAGTTGGCTCGACTTTCGAAGCATCTTTGCGGCCAAGGTCTTCGGACGTCCAGAACTTCTTCCTGGATAGGCGAAGCGCTTCCTGCCGCAGAACAAGCATCTTACGACCAAAGACATGAACCTCGTTGTCATCAATGAAAGATCGTTTCAGCCTGTTTGAAGGCTTATTCATAACTTCAAATGGGTACTGATGTTCAATCGTATGAGAGCATAGGAGGGGTATGCTGTAGACATCGTAGTCGAAATAAGTAACTCCTTCCTCTGGGAAGCGATCCTGACCGGCGTACAAGTGGTGATCATCCAGAGACTTCTTGATCTTAGTATTCCGTCTCTTTATAGCCTCGTGGCTCGCTTTGGCCTTTTTGCGCGAAGCTACGTCAGGATTCTCTAACTCCACGAACTTCCGCTTACTGCGCTCAGCCGGCGGTGTGACTGTTTGGCTTGGAGTAGAACTAGGCTTTGGCTTTGCGCCACCTGCGCTGCTTTCGCCAGCCTTTGCGTCTTCCATCTTGTGTATTTCCTTCCCTGCGCTCGGTTGCCGTGACTTGGGGGTTGAGGCGGCGCCCTTGGTGACGGATGTATCGGGCGGCATCGTGGCCGCGGTCTTGGTGCTAACATCGGACTGCTTTAGCGAGCTGGCTTTGGTGTTTTGACTGGGGGTTCGTGGAGTAAGCGCCTTTGCCTCCGGCTCCGCTTCGGGTGCTGTGATCTTGCAACCGTCTTTGACACCGTGTCTCGTCTTAGGGCTCTTTAGCTCATGAGATACTGTCTCCAATACAGCAGGTCTGCTAGGAACAACAGGTTTCTGTTTGAACTTGTCATCACGGAGCTTCTTCCTGTCTTCCTCGGTCATGTTCTTTAGGTCAAGTAGGCTAGGGACCTTCTTGTCTGCATTGACATTCTTCTCCACCGCTGGTGCGCGTGTAGGTTCCCGTCCGTGAGCGATAACAGTCGGTTGCATTTCTCCAGGTCCGCTACGGGCTTTCTTCTTCGCATGCAGTCCATCATCTTCAGTTGCCTCTTGTTTACGCTTCCGGGAAACCTGTCCAGCGGCGTCGGTAGTCGCACTTGCGCGGAGCTCTTGGACCTTGATTGGCCTATCGCGGATCTCTCTGGCTGGGGGTGGGGTGCGCGAGCGCCTGTTGTCTCGATGCTTGGATTGTTGCTCGCGCTGAATGTCTCGCCCTGGCGATTTGCTTCGCTGGTCGCCATGTCCACGCCTGCCACCGTATCCACGTGCACCATTACGGCCGCGTTCCTGCTGTTGTGCTTGGTCATGGTGTTGAAGTCCTTCTTTTGCCTTATATTGAACATGGGTAGTCATCGCAGTCTTGGGCTGAGTGTTGTGGGCGCCGTCCGTCTTTTGGTGCGAACCGCCGTTGCGTTTCCTGGCCATAGTGTCGATTATTCAGGACAGCAAAAAGATCTGTGATTTGATACGGAAGGTCGTGTGTAGAAGAGAGCAAAACAGACTAGTGAGACAAAGGTATTGTGTGGGTCCATTGTCGCGCTAGTACCACGTGCTCTAGTATTGTCTCTGTCACCCACATTCACTACGGCCATACTTTCGAAATGTCCTTCTCGAAGGATAGTGGTTATTCTATGCGCCGCCAGGAACGAGTTGTACCGTTGTGCGCGCATAGTTGCGTCATCACGGCGTTACAGGCGCTGTTGCCAATCATGGCAGGCAGGCGCAGCCTATAGTGAAGAGCCATATTTTCCCGTCGCAGCATTGCAGAGCCTCAATCCGGCTTAACAGACTTACAAAGCTTAGAAAAAACCTCGGAACGAAATGCTGCCGCTACGCCATCGGGACGATCAAGCTACAGTTGCAGGCGCACAGCTCGAAGAGAGCTTCGGCAACATGGACATAGATACTACGGCTTCCTTCGACGATAGCCCGAAACAGCCATTTGGAGATCTTTCGTATGAAATACGCGCTCTTCTTCTGGAAGGTCCTCCAATTCTGCTTGTCGCGTCTCATTCGGGTGCGCCATCGGACTACGCCCACCAGTGTTCTGCTGCCGAAGGTCTCGTTTCCCTCGATCGCAGTCGTCAGATGACCGAGCAAGCCGAGAGCGGCCACCGTCCATATGCCATCGAAATTTCGGTTTGGGCGCTCGCTGCGGCTTCGCAGGCGATTCGAGCCGACTATGAGGAATACCCAGACGTTTCGCAACTCGCTCTCGCCATGGGCCCCATCTTACCAGGTTACGCCATGTGTGTCCTCGACTGGCTTGTTCGGTGTTTCAGAAGCAAGACGACGACATCTTTCATTCCCGATGACCCAGAAGTCGATGGCGAAGATAAGTGGTATTGGCTGTATAGCTATGCGGCGATGCGCGCTCTCGGTATTGACGCTGTGGAAGATCTGCAGCCGTTCATCAAGCGTCTTATTGATCATGAAGGCCTCGTCGCGGAGATGACCAGCTACCTACGTCTTCTGAGAGCCCTGCAGCCTTCGGATCCAATCGTCACGTATCTTGCTGTAAGAACAGCCAGGCAGATGTTGGGAAATGCGCACGTGTTGTCGGAGGCGCAATGCGACGCCATAGGCGCAGCACACCCGCATTTCGCCGCGCTCGTCAACGAGCAGCTGCAAAAGTCGAAGTTGTGAATTCTTGTCGAACACCAGGCAGCGGTGAGGGGACGGGTCCCAATATAATAAGCAAGTAAACCTCATTGCAGGTTCAGATGTCTGGTCGAAGTAAGGCGGGGTCCCGGAGCTCCACATGCTAAACCTTTTCGGAAAGGTTCGCCTGAGGACAAGGGGCCCATCCAGCTGGGCAACAACAGATGCTCTACATCACTCCCACCACCTCAACCAAATGCGCAAGTCGGTCAGCTGCGCAATCTTCTCACACCGCATCAGATGAGAGAGTCTATCCTCATGACAAGTTTATGCTGTCTCTTGTCAGCCCTAGCAAGGCCCCAGTGTGGTCGTTTTTCCTTTTCAATCCCCTATTTTGCTAGAATGTCAATGCATCGGCTTGTTCCACGGTACTGCCAAATGATTCGCTATTGCTATTGAAATGGCTCACGATTTGTTCGCTGGACCGCATCTTTTTCAGTCTCTCGTCTCTCATTTCGTCTTCATCGTGACACAAGCGCATCTCCGATTATGGAAATGCTGATGTATCGTTCGCGGCAAACCCCTTCGATAACTCTCCACTGACATTGATGTCTGATTGCTAAATGTTTCGTTGTTTCTGTCGTTTGTGTTGGGAAAGTTGACCGCTTTCTCTCTTCAGCTAAGGTTGCTGTCACCGCCAGGTGTGATGCGTGTTCCGCTCCGGCCATGGTGCTGTCCGGGCCAACGTTGAGGGACACCAGAGGAGGTGAGGGCTCGGAGACTCTGCCGGCGCATCCATTTGACAGTCGCGCTAACACATTTTAGCTCAATGCGGGAGGATGTTCCTGCATGGACCAATATTACACATCCAATGTTGGGACTGTATGGTACAGCTGCAGGTACTTGCTACCAACACACAACGCTTTGATTCTATCTGAGAAGGGTGAGGGTAGTGCGAAAGTTGGTGTATAAGAGGGGCAACATCCTCACTCTAATCGAAGCACAACATCAAGCATCACTTTCAACACATCACCTCACCAACAACCACACAGTCATCATCATCATCATGCGTTTCTCTCAAATCGCCACTCTTCTCTCCATTGCCGCTGCGGCCAGCGCCCAGTACACCTACAACATTACCCAAGCTGAGAAGCATGGTAACATGGAGAAGTACAAGTGCTTGTATGCTAAACCCCTTCGAAACTTCGTTATACTCTGTACTAATGTCATGATGCTAGGGACAACAAGAAGCTCAGCAAATGGATGCCCAAGTGCCTTCACCAGTGTCAGGAGAAGGCCAACCATGCTGACGGCTGCGCGCCCGATGACTTTACTTGCCATTGCATCAACTACAGCGTCTACTCTGCCGTGAGTACCCCATTCGTCCTAGTTTCAACTGCAGCACTTTTCTGACACCGTAACAGGCGATCGAGCCCTGTGCCTTCCCTGCCGCTCTCGGCGGTAAGGGCACTTGCTCGTTTGAGGAGCTCGGCAAGGCACGCCCTATCGTTCAGGACATGTGCAACTTCTTCAACGCTACTCTATACGACGACTACGCGGAGTGCGACATAGAACTGAGCGAGGAGAAGACTTACATGATCCTCGCTGACGAGGAATTCGGAGAGGTCACTTACTAGATGTGGACGAGCAAGGCTGGGAGTGATAGATGGTGGTATTGGACTTAGGATTGAACTTTAATAGACTTTCATCTTCTCAAACATCTTACCTACAGTGGGACATGTCTTATGCAGACGTAGTCACTGGCGTCGTTACAGCCAAGTGATTTCACAACACCTGACATTCGTCTCACATGGTGCCTTCACGACCGCCGCCCCAACTACTACAAATAGACTTCTCGCGCTGCAACAACCGAACCACACTCACACCCTCACACTTCCACACTCTCACACAACCATAACCACTATCCCCAATACAAGCATCCCTCCCAACAACCTCACTACAATGCCAGAGACATACGGCGAGTACGAACAGGAAGGCGGTCGTCGTGGCGGCGTCTCCGGCCAAGGTACCGGTAGCGGTAACAAGTGAAGAAGTCTAGTCGTTTTCGACCTTACTTCAAATAGAAATAGATAATGCCTGGTTCTCATCGGCGAAAAGCGCATCGTGTACACGAGCGCTTTGCTGCGTCATCATGTGTTCGCGCACATGATGATTTTATCGGTATGATTTTATCGGTATAATATAACCTGAACGTCGTTTTGATTGTCATCTATGAGTCAATAAGCTGAACTATAAGTCCCAAAAGTGGATAGACTGCGTGATGCCCAGATGTGATGTTGGGACGGATATAGACGAGTGTGAGTCGATGATGTAGGTCAAGACATGCATGACGCCCTGGCTATTGAACACGCTAGGAAACCGGACACGCGCATTCAGGAACCCATTTCGCCGTGTGTTATTCCGACGCCCAGGAGATGTCGCGTTTCCAAGATGAGGAGCGGCGCAGCGCGATTCTAGCTAGCGTGCTTGGCATGACCTTGGGAACGTGACGCGCGCGTGTGGCACATGTCTCCTTTCGCGCGAAAGTTCCACCAACACCTTCACATACCTACGTTATCCTCTGGGCCTATTGACTTTCTGTCCTTTCCGGACGCGTCGCGTTGCCCTGCGATACAGCAGCTCCGAAGCCGCCCAGTCTGCCAGATTCAACTGGCCCTTCCGGTGGGCGCGCGCCATGGCAATATCTACTGGCTCAATCCCCATTCCTTCACATACGACCATAGGATCATGAAAATTAGGCTTCCCGTCCGCTCAGCCATATACAAGCATGATACCGGCGGATTAGTAGTTAGGTGGGTGACCACTAGCGAATCCCCGCTGTTGTATGTTTTTGATCTTTTTTGCCCCAGCTAAGGACATGCGGCAAGCTCTCTAGCGGTGCCTTCTGCGGGCATCGCTCCTATTTTTCCTGGTCTGGCAGTACTATTCACGCATCCATCACCCCAAAAGGCATCAATTCGGTTGTCTCTACCCCGAGGTTAAATGGCGAACAGGTCTTCGCCTTCCCACAAACCTGTCGATCTACCCCACCTCCACAGTAGCTCCACTCCTGGCCATCACACACGAGGCTCGCCAAGGACACACCAGCCTCGTTCAGGACGACCTACATTACGTTCTGTGGACACCTTCTTGCGTGCGGGCTAGCCGACGGGTATGCTACCGCAAGTGACATGGTGAGCCGGGTATTGGACGGGCCACGGCCCGTTGCGGTCAAGCCGTAGCCAGGTACCTGGTCGAGACATGCAACTACAAAATGCTTGCCCGTCGGATGGTCAGGGAGAAAGTCAAGCCTCCCCTCTGGTTGCGACTTCTTCCGCTCTTTGCACCATCTCACAATGTTTGGGGCCTTCATTGGCCTTGCTGGCCTTGTCAGCTATGCCACCGCCCAAAGCGACTCTGTCAAAGTCAAGTGGCTTGAGGATACACCAGAATACCTCGCTGGCGTGACATTCGGCCTACCGTGGCCTCGAGGACAGCACCTTGCGAACGCAACAACCTTCACCGTCTCTGGGGATGCGGAACTTCAGTCGTGGGCAACAGCATACTGGCCTGACGGCTCGCTGAAGTGGGTACGACATGTCCCTGTACGAACTGCATATGAGACATTGACTGACTTCGTACACCCACCTTTTAGACCGGACATGCTCTAGGAGCTAGCGACGCACCAGCCAGTGAATATACAATCACAGCTTCTGGTGCAGGAAACTCCTCGACTTCGCTATACAAAGGCCAAGGCAATGGCATCCAAATTACTGACTCCGGCAATACTATCGTGGTCAGTACCGGCAAAGTTTCAGCAACCTTTCCCAAGTCGGGCAACGTCCTAGTGTCCACCATTGAAGCCGGCGGGAAGACGGTCGGAAGCAACGGCCACCTCGTCCTACGCTCTCAAAACGGTACTCCTGATGACGACGAAGATGGCAAGCCAACCGGCATCGACTACTTCAGCTTCACCAGCAAGATCTCGAACGTCACTGTATCAGAGGAAAACACCGTACGATCATTAGTCACAGTCAGCGGCATCCATACTATCGACGGAAATGGCGCTCATGACGACTGGATACCCTTTACCGTTCGGTTTTACCTCTACGCCAACTCCGAAGCAATTCGGGTCATTCACACCATCATATACGATGGAGATATGTACAAAGATTTCATGTCGGGTATCGGCATTCGCTTCGATGTTCCCCTAGCTGAAGAGGAGTTCTACGATCGTCATGTCCGAATCGCGGGTGTTGAAGGCGGAATGCTACACGAAGCTGTCAAGGGCGTTACTGGTCTGCGTCGCGACCCAGGTGTCGATGTTCGATCGGGTCAGTTCAACGGCACCGTCTTGCCACCGAACTCTACATGGGATCAGAGGGTGACTACTCGTCTACAGTGGATCCCAACGTGGAGCGACTATCAGCTTACACAACTCTCTCCAGATGGCTTCAACCTCAAGAAGCGCACGAAGGCTGGCCAAAGCTGGGTCAAGATTCCTGGAGGCACGCGTTCAGGTGGCCTGGCATATCTCGGCGGCGCTACGGTTGGTGGCCTTGCCGTGGGCCTTCGCGATTTCTGGAAGAAGTATCCTACCAGTTTGGATATTTCCAATGCTGCAACTGATACTGGATCAATCACCATGTGGCTGTACAGCCCTCAGGCAGGGCCCATGGATATCCGCCCATATCACGACGGCCTTGGACAAGACACCTACAAGCAACAACTAGACGCTCTGGATATCACATACGAAGACTGGGAAGGAGGCTACGACACTCCTTACGGCCTTGGCCGCACAAACGAGCTTTACATCTACGCGTTCGACAAGACTCCATCCGCCGAAAGCCTTGCAACGCTCACCAACTTCACCAATAACCCACCCGTTCTCATTCCTGAGCCAGAGTACATGCGCGACACCAAAGCGATTGGGTCTTACTGGGACGTGCCTGGTGCTCTGGACTCTGCGCAAGCACAGACTATCGAGAACAACATGGACTTTCTGATCAAGTTCTACGAAGACCAAATCGAGCAGCGCCGTTGGTACGGATTCTGGGATCATGGAGACATCATGCATACCTATGATAACGATCGTCACCAGTGGAGATATGACGTCGGTGGCTATGCTTGGGATAATTCGGAGCTGTCGCCTGATCTCTTTTTCTGGGACTTTTTCCTCCGCACCGGTCGTGCGGATGCTTACAAGATTGCTCACGATCAAGTGCGCCACGGAGGCGAGGTTGACTCGTATCATCTGGGCAACTTTACTGGGCTCGGGACGAGACATGGCGTCCAACACTGGAGTGACAGTGCCAAACAGGCTAGAATCTCAACTCCAGTCTATCGTAAGACTTTTTACTACATCTCCGGCGGCGACGAGCGGACCGGCGACCTGGTAAGTGAGGTCATGGATGCTGATAAAGCTTTCCTTCGCGTAGATGCGAGACGCAAGGTGCGGGAACCGGGTATTGTCTACAACCCTGATCCAGAAGCGCTATTCCTCAACTTTGGCACCGACTGGGCTGGTATTGCTCAAGCGTATCTTATCGAATGGGAGCGTCGCGGGCCTCGCTGGGAAGAATCTCGCAAAAAGCTTGTCGAGTCCATCATGACATATCCAAAGCTCAAGAACGGATTCGCCACTGGCGAAGCTTTCTACAACAGCCTCACTGGTGCGTGGGCACCGCCGCCGACAGACCCGAACAACACCGGCAACGTCACGGTTTCGCATCTGTCTGGTGTCTTCGGCGTCCTTGAGACTATTGATCAGCTTGTGGACCACTTCGGTACGGACCAGAAGAACCTCACTCAACCTTTCTTCGAAGCCTTTTTGGACTATTGTTACTATTACGGCGCCGGGAAGGCTGAACAGAAAGCTCGTTATGGCAAGGACTTTGGTACTTTAAGTCTGATGCAGGGTCACTCGCGCTTCACCGCATATGTCGCGAATCATCGCAACAACGCGACACTCGTTCCAAGAGTTTGGTCAGAGTTCTTGGGCGATGGTAGTAAAGACGGGCTTGCACCGGGTGCTCCATGGGCGAGGGTGAGGGTCGATGGAAGTGACGCACTTACTGCTGTCGATGAAGCCACATGGGTCAGTACGAATGCCGCAGCGCTATACGGCGTTGCTGGTATTGAGAATCTGGCTCTCGTAGGCGCGCCCGACGTGAGCACCATTGGAGCTGGTAACGCGACAAAGGGATCCGTGTAGTCCTAGGTATTCGTATTAGCCAGAATTCTTCACTACGAACTATCGCCACATTCCTATCTTTATGCATGTTATCTTTGTTGGCTCACTACCCGCTGAGTGCACGAGCATTGGTTACGCTTTATACGATGCATTCCACTATAACGGCCCGGCAGATCCGCGTGGCACAGTCCGGATAAAGGTCGGCGTCGTAGAGAAAATCTTAATCTGTGAGTAGCGAGCGGCATGGCCCCTGTGACAGGTCAAGGCAATGGGGTAAGTTGCCTTCAGTACGTCCCTGAAGTATGGGTTGATGCATTGCAGGCTGCTTCAATACACACCGAAAAAGATACGAGGGGAACACAAATGGAAGGCAGTTGTCGCCCTGACATGTTCCGCTGCCCCCAACCTTCACCCGCCACTTCTCATGATGGCTGTCTTCACGAAACCAAGCGCGCTTCCTAGGCTCTCTGTCGTCTTTGGGAAACTCTCTGTAGTGAAACTCGTTTCTCTAGTCGTTGCATTTGTCTGTTCGCACTAATTCGCCTTCGAATACCCGGGTGTACTAACGTTGGCAGATTGTTGTACGATGGGTAGTTAGAGGCATCTACCGAGTCTACTTCCATCCGCTTAGCCATTTCCCTGGGCCAAAGTTCTATGCCTTTACGCGCCTACCGTACCTCACTGCCATGGCGAAAGGTGAACTACCACGACACGTTGCCCAGCTCCACGCGCAATACGGAGAAGTAGTGCGCCTCGCGCCTGATGAACTCAGCTTCACCAATCCAAAAGCTTGGCGCGACATCTACGGCTATGGGTCGAAGGAAGGCCCAGGCTCGGCGCCGCCCAAAAATTGGAATCGCCGGGGAAGTTCTCCTAATGGAGCCAACTCACTTGTCGCAGAGCAAGACAATGCCGAGCATGCACGGATTCGCAGAATTTTCTCTCCCGCGTTCTCTGACCGAGCGCTCGTACAGCAGTCACCATTATTCATCAAGTACGCTGATCAACTTATCCGCAACTTGAGAGAAAGTGTCCAGGCGAACGCGGTCGATATCGTCCAGATGTGTACGTTAGGTCTACATACGAACGCATGTTGGACAAACACTGACTTTTTACAACTATCTCTAGACAACTTCACCACTTTCGACATCATGGCCGACCTAACATTTGGCGAATCTCTACACCTGCTCGATAACGCAGAGTACAACACCTGGACTCAGGTCATCTTTAAAAGCATCAAGCGCGGTACGCTAATGACCATCTTCTTCTACTACCCGCTCGCCAAGTTTATGCTATTTACATTGTTGGGTAAGAAGATTGCGACATTTCGGAGGGAGCATCACAACTACACTGTCGAAAGGGTCACTAAGCGACTTGAAAAGGGACGAGTATTCGAGGGCGTCGATCTGTGGGACCTGGTTCTCCAACAAGAAGACAAGGGTAAAGCGGGCCTGACCCGCCCTGTCATGGACATGAACGGCGAGTTATTCATGTTAGCTGGCACGGAAACGACGGCGACGTTGCTCAGTGGACTCACCTACTTGCTTCTGGCGCACCCTGAAGTGATGGCGAAGCTTGTGGATGAGATTCGGACGGAATTTAACTCATCAGACGACATAAGTATGGAAATCACCGCTGGTTTACCATACCTGAATGCGTGCATCAAGGAAGCGTTCAGACACTATCCTCCTGTACCGATTGGTTTGCCACATCTCACTCCTGCTGAAGGTTCGACTATCTGTGAATACTACATTCCTCCGAACGTACGTTGTCACTCACTCACACCTTCTCAAACATGACTCTAATACTTACATTCTAAAGACGAATGTCGCAGCCTCGCATTTGGCAATGTACAGCTCCTCCGACAACTTTAGACTCCCCGAACGTTTCATCCCCGAGCGCTGGCTCGGCGACCCACGCTTCGTCTCCGATAAATGCTCAGCTCTCCAGCCGTTCCATGTAGGTCCAAGGGACTGCCTAGGCAAGAAGTAAGTAACGCTACTTCTTAGTCTCTGGAACATTGCAAAGACGCTAACATGTTGCTACTAGCATGGCCCTCCACGAAATGCGCCTCATTATCAGCAAAGTACTCTTTAACTTCAATCTAGAATTGCTCCCCGAATGTCGGGATTGGATCGCGGATCAGAAGATATACTCTTTGTGGGAAAAGACACAATTAATGGTTAAGATCAAGGATGCAGTAGTTGTTTCGACGTAACTGCGCTGTCGATCTAGACATACGTCAAAAGATAGCCTGGAGGCTTTATTGAAGAGAAGCAAGACAAGACTCTTCGTCTTTCACTCCAACCGTTGACTACAGTCTACATTTGCTGTACGCTAGTACTTTTACAGCGTTTGTCTCACCTCCGCACTGACGCCGTCTCCCATTTGCAATTTTTCCTACATCCCACTCTCATATTTGATCTTTCTGCCAACGCGCAAGCGCTTTCGAGACAGACTGCCACCTATACGGCTCATGGCATTCGCAGCCACGGCGATGATGGCCGCCCGAACTTCCTCCTTGACGATCAAAATGCTCAGCAAGGTCCCCGACGTGGACATGTACGAAGACGTCATCCAATTAACGACACCGCTCCAACTCGAACCACCTGTATCCATCTACATCAAAAGCGACTCACCATATCGGGTCACTCTCATAAAGGGCAACAGTGTCGACGTCGACGCTGGCCCTCAGTCCTTCACCAAGATCGAGTCCTTCAGGCCGCTCATCATTGCGTCGTCAGCGCCGCTTAAGTCCGCATTCGCTGAAGGATGGAACAAACTGCCAGCCGAGCTGAAGATCCTGACACTCGAGTTCAATATGAAAGCCGAGAATCGCGTCGGCGCAGACGACAAGAAGGTCTACCCTCCAATAGTCCTTTTTCAGCTGCTTCCCCACCTGACAATGACACGCGAGATTGCCGCAATAGCGCAAGACATATTCTGGACCAAGAACGAGTTTCATCTAGAGCCGTCATGTCAGTCTGTCGTTATCGGAAATGGAAGGTCGAACAATCGCATCTACTTCGCCTATCCCCCACAAGCATTTCACCATCTCATTCGGCGGCTCGCTGTGCGGATCCGTCCGATGAGACGTGAGTGGCGTGTACTCGAGAAGCTTGCGAACGGCGACTATGGTTTCGCTGCTCTTCGCAACATCGTTGTCGAGTTTGACATGCGGCGTGTAATCTTGACCAGGAGAGTATGGACCAGCTTTCTCACTCTGACCGTCCGCGATGGAATCGATTTTAAATGCGCTGGCAATGTGAAGTTCCTTGCTCCACAGCCAGCCACCGACACGCCATCAGAGCTTTCGTTCGAGGATGTGAAGGAGATGTTCAACGGCAAGATCAGGTTCGCGGTCGAGGAGACCAAGGCGGAAGCTTAAAGAGACTGTCGTTGCGTCTAGCAGGCGCCACAATAGGTGACGGTATCGTGGGAGTAGAGCATGGTTTCGAGTTCAGGAAGACATTGGTAGATTTTAGAAGGAGGGAATGAAGAAGTCAAAACATTTACAGTAGAAGGTTGTGAGAGTAGTGATGTTAAGACAACTTCTGTGACGTAACCCAGCGGGGTGGTCAGTTACTTTCTTTTTATTATGCTTAGGTCGATTTATTCACGTATATGGTGTTGAGATCCTCATCATGACTCGAGCACCCATCTGCTCACATTGCCCACTGGTCCTCGCTGGCCACACATTATCCGTCTTCGGGTATTGGCCTCTTCATCTGTAGGAGGTTTTGCGCTTGTGCCATAGCAATTCCATGTTGACTTATTTAGTCTTCATGGAGCCCTTGCCAGCCTTCGCGTCCTTGACCTTCTGCTTCTCTTTCTCCGTCTGCGGCAAGTCCATGCTCTTGGTGCCGAACTTCGGAAGGAACTTCCCGACCCGCTCCTGGTAGACCTTGTATTCAGGGTACTTGCCCGCGCTGAGCAGCTCAGTCAACCAAGTGCTAGCCTGGAACAAGATCAAGTATCCGAATGCACCGGCAAACGCCCAGTTGACGTAGGTCTCGGTCTCCAAGCAGCACCACTGGTACAAGCATACCCAGAAGGACTGTTCGGCTGCGAAGTTGGGGTGGCGCGACCAGCTGAAAAGACCAGTAGTGTTGAAGCCACGGTCTAACTGTTCACGAGTGTATTTCTGGTCGGATGGTACCTTGGCAGTCTTCTGGTATGCGTTCCTCGCTTTGTAAAAGTTCCATTGCGCTTGGTCGGCAAAGAACTCGAACACGACGATAGCGAGCATGGAGCGGCCGAATAGGGTATCGTAGGTTGTGATGTCGTTGCCCTTGATGCGGTTGACGAGGAGGAGGATATACGTGGGCGTGGTGATGAGCCAAAGAAGAATCTACCATGATCAGTATCTCATACACTGATAGTAAATAGTAGGAGTATACTTACATTCTGCCCTAGCGAGATGAATGTGACATTGAAAATGAACATGCCGGGTCCGCCGACGTAGTCCTTGACAATTTCCCATCGGTAGTCTTCGCTGCCGACCTGATATCCGCCCTTCCGCCAATAGTTGAAAGTCAAGCGAGCACCCCAGATGATTGAGACAGCCATGATATGGTCCAGCTTCATGGTGGGCAGGCCGTTGAGATGAGCCCATAGTGCGTAATGCACGTTGTAGAGGGCAGGCAATATACTCCAGATCCTGTCAACCTGCGAGTAGTTCCGGTTGATCTCGGAGACGGCAAGCACGATCGGCGTGACGAACATCGTGGCAAATGCCAGCGATGACATGAGTGGGTTGGTGTTGACATAGAGGTCTTTCAATGCCTGCACATCGGTGATATGCGCTGCAACCTTGTACGGGAGGTCATAGAATTGTGGCAGGAACGGCTCGACGGTCTTGAAGTAGTCGACGCAGTCGGGCAGCGTCTTGACAAGTGGCAGTGCCATGTCGGTATATGTACGGGGGTCAGGCATCGTTGCTATGAGGGTTGGTGAAGATGGGGATGTTGCGATGCGCCCCTCGCAAGCTGGCGTTAGCGTTTGTTGTGTGAAGCGGACAATGACCTCATGAAGACCTGTTTTCCCTCGTGTCCCCGGCTTAGCGAGCTGCGGTAGTGTCCGTGCGGCTCTCGAACGCGCTAGTACGCGCCAAGGTCATTCTGACGCGTCTTCACATGACCGTGAGGATCTTTCCCCACCATCGCCTCCAGACCCACGTTGAGCCTCTTTCGCGGTTTCAACGGCAGTCCAGAGGTATGACTCGGGTATTGTGCGTGGCGGAAAAGCCATCGATCGCAAAAGCAGTCGCAAATCATCTGGGCGGCCAAGCCCGAGCAGTAAGTTCAGCATGTCGCATTGACCTTCAACATATACCTTGAAAGTTCGCACTTGTGTTTGATTGATATTCCGATACCCGGAGAGGATGCCAGATGCGTTCAGCTCATGTCTTGGTATTCGGTGCAAGGATACAGGCGCCTTCATGGCCTGACGTGCAGATCGGACGCAGGCTGACTTCAGATAGGAAAGTGTCCGCGGTATCCAGTGGGTCAAGAACTACAAGTTTGATTTCCGCTTCCAAAACTGGGGGCAATGCTCTGTAACGTTCACATGCGTTGCTGGACATATTGTTGCGCAGGACTTCAACGATCGATTCAAGAAATGGCACTCATGTCAACCCGCAGCACTGTTCGAGGCTCCCATAGTGTCGAGCATAGCAGAAGTGGGTGATTTGGTTCATTTTGACGAAGTTGGCTAATCCATATACAGGACAAAAAGGTTGTAGCGAGCAATATCGAAGCGCAAGCCAGGTGGGCGAACATCTTGTTCATCTGGACTGATTGTGATCGCGAAGGCGAGCATATCGGCACTGAGATTCGTGATATTGCGCTGAAGGCGAACCCAAACATGCAGGTTTGGAGAGCGCGTTTTAGCAACATCGAGAGAGCGTCTGTGAAACTGCAAGATCTTCATGAGCATCAACTAACGTGACCCAGGCACGTTATACAAGCCTCACAGAACCCGATCCGCCTAGACGAGAAGCAGGCTCAAGCTGTTTCGGCTCGTATTGAGCTAGATCTGCGGCTCGGTGCAGCCTTCACACGCATGCAAACACTGGCGCTACAAAACATGATTCCTCAGCAGGGCGAAGAGCGATTCAAGTTGATCAGCTACGGCTCCTGTCAATTTCCAACGTTAGGGTTCGTTGTCGATCGCTATCTGCGAGTGCGAAATTTTGTTCCCGAGCCATTTTGGTACATCAAGCTCGCACACAAGAAAGACGATATTGAAGTCAAGTTTAACTGGCGACGAGGTCATCTTTTCGATCGTATGGCGGTCGTCCTCATCTTCGAGAGATGTCTGCTCTCAAAGACAGCAAAGGTGATCAAGATGGCTAAGAAACCCACAAAGAAGTGGAAACCATTACCTCTGACGACAGTCGAACTACAAAAGAATGGAAGTAGATTCCTTCGCATGACCTCGCAAGACGTCATGAAAGTGGCCGAAGACTTATACACGAAAGGGTGGATCAGTTACCCGCGTACTGAGACTGACCAATTTGATCGTGGTATGGACCTGCGAGCGCTTGTCGGAAGGCAAACACAAGACGGTCGCTGGGGTCCGTTCGCACAGAACCTCATGAACGGTGGCTTTCATCAACCTCGCGAGGGCCGCAACAACGACAAAGCACATCCGCCCATCCATCCCGTTAACTACGTCGCTTCCACTCAACTCAACGACAGAGAGCGCACCGTCTATGAATTTGTTGTCCGCCGCTTTCTCGCCTGCTGCTCTGAAGACGCTGTCGGTGAGGCCACAGACATCGAGATCGAGTACGGAGGCGAGATATTCCATGCACATGGCCTTACCGTGATTGCCAGGAACTATCTCGACGTATACCCATACGACAAGTGGGAAAGCAGTCAAGTGCTCCCCCAGTACACTGTAGGTGAAACGTTCGAGCCTACAGAAGCGAACATGATGGACGGACAAACGTCGGCACCCAGCTACCTCACCGAGCCTGAACTCATCGCGCTCATGGATGCGAACGGCATCGGCACTGATGCAACTATGGCCGAGCATATCGCCAAGATCAAGGAGCGCGAATACGTCATTGCAAGACTCAGGGCGGGTGGCGCAGCAGCAGCCGCAGATGGCGCAGGTGCAGGTAGAGGCCGCGGTAGAGGAAGAGGAGGGGCACGAGGGGGACGTGGTGGGCGAGGCGGCGCAGCCGTAGGCCAGAACAACGGAGGAGGGACGGGCGGAATACAAGAGTTCATCCCAACGACTCTGGGTATCGCGCTTATCGAAGGATACGACAACGTGGGGTTTGAGACAAGCCTCAGCAAACCATTCCTCCGGAAAGAAGTAAGTGGGATGTTGGGCTTTGATGACCCGGCATGCTCGCTAACACATTGGGTAGATGGAGGTCCAGATGAAGGCCATCTGCGAAGGCCGCACTACGCGCAACGAAGTGGTGCATCAGAACCTCGAGCAGTACCGGGCCGTTTTCACTCGCACGGTGCAGCAGATCAACGTCCTCAAATCGGTACGTCGATTTTGACTCGAACTTTTGTGTGTGTAGTCGCATCGCTAACGGAATCCCCACCCACTAGGCTATCACGAAGTATGTTGTCAACGCAAATCATGGTTGAGGCATTATCACGTTGTCTGGTCGTAACGCTCACGTCCCTCGGTTGACGGCAAAAAGCTCCGATGGGTTGCGCAAGCTCTCTGTAGAGTTTGGCGATCTTCTGCGACGGGATGTCTTGCAGTGAGGCCTGTCGGGCAAACACGTGTGTCAGACGGTGGTTGCTGGCCGCGAAGGCAGGCCCCCTCACCGTGTGCCTGAGCCTCTCATTAGTAGGCGCATGGCGAAATCGGACCTTTGGATGGTGGGATGGACCCCGCAGCGCGATAATGATAGCGCCAATCGCCGGTGTGGGAGCGAGGCATGGAGAGACGGATGGCCAACGTAGGAAGCCGATACACACAGCATGGCGATATGGGGCATCGGCTGCGAACGGAAGCCACGATCGCGATGGCTGAATGCAGCAGCTGCGAACATCGCGACATCGTTCTCGCAGCGTTTCGCAGCATTTCAGACAAAGTACACGGCTTCACCGCATCGCAAAGACACGATACACTTCGTACTACTCTAGCGTTGCCCTGCTTCTTCTAAGCTTCGAGTCCCTGCTGCTGCGAGGGGCGAGGTTTCATGACGCTTGTGCGAGGTGTGTGGCTGTCAAGGACTCAGTCAGCTGCTTCCGAGCCAATCACAAGGCTGACAGGGGCACGAGTCGTAGCTTCCCGTCAGATGCGCGTGCCTTCCTTGGAACCAGCTGCCTTCGGAACCAAGGAGCCCTTATCATAGCGACCCTGCCTTGCTCGTACGTAGACTCATAACATAGCCCACACCCGAATATTGAA